GTAACCCTTTGAATATATTTTCCCATTCTTTCCTCACTCACATTGTTTCTGATGAGAGGTCTGCTGTTAGTCTGATGAGATATCCTTTGTAGGTAACTTTCCGTTTCTCTCTTGCCAGTCTTAGTATCTTGTCTTTGTGGTTTTGGTCAATCTGGCTATAATGTGTCTTGGAGAAGATCTTCTTGGATTGATTCTATTTGGGGTCCTTTGTATTTCTTGGGACTGGATCTTCGAGTCCCTCTCTACGTTTGGAAAGTTTTCTAGCAGGATTTCATGGAATAGATTATCAATGCCCTTATGAGCCTCTTCACCTTTTGGGATGCCAATTATCTGGGTGTTTGAATATTTGATGGTATGTAGTACTTCTCGTTTATTATTTTCAAAATTTTGAACAATTTTCTCAGTCTTTGTGGGGGATTTTTCTAGGCCAGCAATTTTCTCTTCTATGTCTGAGATTCTATTTTCTGTATGCTCTAGTCTGCTTTTAATACTTTCAAGGGAGATTTTGACTTCCTGTATTATAGCCTTCATCTCTAACAGGTCCATTTGATTTTTTTGTGAACTGTGTAATTCCTCTTTTAGATCCTGCAAGAATTTCCTCACCTCCTGGAACTCTTCAGCTCCTTCCTCTTTTCTCTTCTGCAGTTTATTGTCTCTCTTCTCTTCCATCTGTTAGCTTCGCCATTATGAATGCTCTAAATTCTTTACCAGACATTTCCATGATTTCCATTGAACTGTTTGTGGATGAAGAGGAGTTATTCTTTTCCCTTGGAGGAGAGGTATTTTCTTGCATTCCATATTTCTTGTGGCCTTGCGGTGATTTCTAGTCATCTGTTTGATGGTAAATTTCTTCCCAAACTTGAAGATCAATCTGAGCCTCCAGGAGCATGCAGTAAAGGACACACACAGAGAGAAACAACAGCAACAACAACAACCAAGAAACAGAGAAAAAGAGAAGAAAAAAATGAAAAAATTATTATTATTATTTAAAAAAAAAGCAAAAAGTAGAAAAGTAGAAAACCACACGGCACAATTATGCACTGCACGAAATCACTAGTTCTCAGGAGCCATGAAGGTGTCTCCTTCTGAAGTCCTGTTACCTTGCCTCTCCTGGCTTGGGAGGGGTAGAGGGGATTATTAACAAGATAAAGGGAAAGGAGAGGCTGAAAACCGAGAAAGTGCTTTACCTTAAAAAATTTTAAAAAGAAAAAAATTACAAAAACTTAGAAGACAGATACAGAGGGAGAGAGAGACAGAGACAGAGACAGAAGGCTTGAAAGGCTTCCTAGCACTCGAGTTTGTGGGCTGAAGGCTGAATTATCAGTGGAAAATCTTCATTTCTCTTATTTTCCTGAAATCACTAGTTCTCAGTAGCCATGAAAGTGTCTTTTTCTGAAGCTTGACTGTGGATTTTCTTAAATGTAGGCTGAGTGTCGCAGACTGAGTAGATGTTCATCAAATTCATTCACTCTTCTCCTTGAGCACACAGGTGAGCCCTTTTCTAGCCCTGAGAATTTAGGCGTTACCAAATCCCCAGTTATCATCAATGGGTGGCAATGAAAACTCCTGTGTGCAAGTATGACCTCTTCCTCTTTTTCTCTCATTTTCTCTCTGCCAGAAAGTACGCCAGGGAAGACTTGGATTAAGCCACATGTTGATAACAGAAGGTATTTTGTTCCCTGGATAACTGTGTTATACAGCGTTCCCTATTCCCTGTGAGAATGTTGGCATGAATGAAAAAGCCCAAAAACAAAAATAGAAACAAAACCCAACAAACTCTCCTTGTGCTGAGGAACTGAGATGATGAGGTTTCTGTGTTACAGTACCTAGTATTAATTTAGCCAACTTTTACACTGATGAGATTATGCCCTATCTCCAGGCTCACAAGGTTAAAAGGGGCAAAGCCAAGAACCAAGCACCCAAACATGAAGCCTACAGCCTGGCTTTTACTAGGCAACCTACTCCTTCTCCAGCAATAGGGAAGAATACAATGGAGGAGAGCCAATAGGTTGAAGGGTTGAATGGCTTTCTAAAACCCTCAAGGAGGTCACAGTAGGGGCCTCTTCCCATTATATGTCTTCAGGGTCAGGTATGCCTATATGCCTTCCCTCAGCTACTTACCTGGAAGGGAACGTTAGCAGAGACCCCTTTTCATTATACACAGATCTTGATCCTTCTCTAGCAGATAGAGTAGTTCTAGTCTGGGAACGGGATACCCTGATCACAGAGAAACAGGACAGAAATGATGGGTAAGACAAAAACGTGCCTCTATAGAATAGTATTTAAGACAAGAAAAGAATTTGGAATGAGGTTTCTTCTAACCATTCAAAGAAACTGCTGATCTGCAACCCAGAAACCAAGAGCACAAACACCAACCATCCTTAGGCCAAAAATCCATAGCGGATAGTGGTGACTGCCTACATAACACCCATACCCCTCCACCTCTATCCTATAGAACAAGGGTCCCGAGCCCTGGGCCATGTGTGGAGAGCAGCCAATTTGAAAGCATGTGATTAAAACATGTGACCTAGGGACCAGTAGTTAGCGTAATGGTTATGTCGCTGGACTCCCAGGTAGTCGACCATGGTTCGAGTCTTGGACTCAGTGGCTTAAACTCACGCTGGGGGATTGCAGCATGGCCATCCCACCTGGGGGGGTGATTTCTCACTTTCTGTCTCTTTGTCTCTCTCTGTCTTTCTGGCGAGCGCATGCCCTATAGCAAAAACCTCTCCAAAAGAAAGAAAAGAAAAAAAAGTGTGGCCTATAGACACATGTAGATATGTGCTTTTGTAAGCTACTCTAGCAGGGCTACTGAGAAGCGTCTACATACAAAAGCAATATTTGCCTGTTGTTAATGGTTGTCGTTTTGTTGTTACTGATACCCAATACCCTGATACTGCCTAGTATCGGGCTAAAGGAAGTTACATGCGTTTATCAGATTGTCCCCGCAAAAAGATTAGAGAAATTATATGGCACCAGTCATATATACATCTGTAGATGATTTACATTAAAAATAACTGGTTTTTGCATTTTGATTTTTCTCTCCTTATTTTTTTGCATTTCACTTCTCCCCCCCACCCCTTGGGTTTTTTTTTGCATCTTATTTTCCCCTTCTCTCATTCTCCCCCCCTTTTTTTGCATCTTATTTTCCCCTTCTCTCATTTTTTTTTGCCCTTTAAAAAAATAAACTGGAGACCAGCCAATCTGAAAACATGTGATCAAAACATGTGGCCTATAGACACATGCAGATATAGGCTACTCTAGCAGGGCTATTGAGAAATATCTACATACGAAAGCAGAATCTGCCTGCTGTCAATGGTTATCTTCCTGTTGTTGTTGACTCCTAATATCCTGGGTTAAAGGAAGTCACATGCATTTATCAGACTGTCCCCCAAAAAAGATCAGAGAAATTGTATGGCACCAGTCATTTTCACATCTTCAGACGATTTACATCAAAAACAACTGGTTTTGCATTCGGATCTCTCCTCCCTTATTCTCTTTGCATTTCACTTCCTTCTTCCCCATTCCTTTTGCATCCCATTTTCTCCTTCTCCTATTTTTCTGCCCTTTAAAAGAATCAACCTGAGGCTGGGTCTGGTTGCAACTTCTCCATCAGAGAAGTTGTGCCCACCCGATCCTTGCTTTTCTATACTTGTGTGTCTTTGTGTGTTTGTTGTTGCGTCTATTTCTAATCCACAGCCTTCCCCACTCAGAGAAACGTGTTCATGCCGAGCTGGTCCCGGCAGCCATGGACTGGCACTGGTCTGTGGCCACACAGTAGATGAGTGGTGGTCAAGTGTGAAGCTTCATCTGCATTTGCAGCTGCTCTCCGTCTGCATTACTGCCTGAGATCCACTTCCTGTCAGAGCAACCACAGCATTAGATTCTCATAGGAAAGCTCACCTTATTGTGAACTGCATATATGAGGCATCTAGGTTTTGTGCTCCTTACAAGAATCTAATGCCTGATCATCTGCGGTGGAGCTGAGGCCGTGATGCTAGAGCTGGGGAGTGGCTATAAATACTGACGACCGCTAATAGAGAGGATGGACTGCACAGAGACTTTACTAAATCAATTGCTTTCAGACTGATATAAAAACTCTTATCAATGAGTGGCAAGTGCCAATTAAGCTGCGTCTGTCTTTACAGTGGAAAGTGAGTTAATGTACTTCGGTTGAGTAGCTGGTACTAGCAGCAGGCTTTAAGTCAGAATCTGGCACTTAGTTTCGTTCACATGTGGCCTGTCTATTATTTCATATTTAGTTTCCACTTCCATCTGCACCTCTTGCCTGCACTGCACACTTCTCCCGCCCACAGTTTCGATTAGTCCACAAGCTAACACTAGCCAAAATGATTGAAAAACAAATGTCTAGTTGCAGGAAAACAAATTTAGGGCTCCTGCTGATTCTGCATTATGGTGAGTTGTATTATTATTTCATTATATATTACAATGCAATAATAATAAAAATGTGCACAATAGACAATGCACTTGAATTATCCCCAACCACCCCTTCCTCCGCCCTGCCTGGTTCATAGAAAAACTCTTTTCCTTGAAACTGGTCCCTGGTGCCAAAAAGGTTGGGGACCGCTGCTATAGAATGCAGTACTGTTCCAGGGCAATCCCTTTTCCGTTTACACATAGGCATGGGACCCTGGGAAGGTGACAAGTCATTTCAGAAACTATTTTTCAAATAACTTACGTCTGTGGGTCTTAACCTTTGGACATCAGAATCAACTGTACATACATGAGTCTGACCATGTGTGGAACAAAATCTCTGGGGATAAGGTCTGGATACAAATAACTTTTAAAGCTCTCCAGGTACCCAGGGAGGGTTAAAGAGCACTTGTCTAAACTGACTGATGCCCGACTTTCTAATACATCGATTAGGTGGTAGGGCAAGTCAAGAC